AATGGGGTAAGGGAAGGTAAGATAGTAGGCTGCCCTTAACACCAGGTTGAGAGCAGCTTCCGTAGAAGACCTCCGAATTATGAAATTCCCTCTGTGGGACTCGATCCCACGACCTCAAGGTTAAAAACCTTGTGCTCTACCAACTGAGCTGGATAGTCATCTCGAAATATCACACTTAGACTTAATAATTATTTGTTAGACAACATCTCCTCAAATATTACCGATTAATACCCTTTCTCACATGATATAATAAAGTGTGGATCGTCACCCGCGTCTTCGTGAGATTCTAACACGTACGGAAGGCGTGGATCATGATATGCGCCTTCCATTATGCACGTTTAATTATTGTACTTCATTATTACTCGATCTTGAAAACTTGTCTTTTAAACGCTCCACTCCCATAGAAATAACAACCCCTCTTAATGCAAACATCACCACATCAAAATTACTTATTTATTCTTACTTTTATCAATTTCTTCTATCAAGCTAAATAGATTTTGTTATTATTTTTATAAGGTAAAATTATTTTTATTATATTATATTTATTTTATATTTAATTATTTTAACAAATTTTATTATACTAATTATTTTATATATTTTTTGAGATTGTAAAATTGGAAAAGTAGGATCATACCTCGAAACATTTTGTTAATACAGTAATAATATGAAATTGTGTTATTTAGATTATTTTGAAATTTAAAAAAAATGGATTAGTTTATATTTTAATTCATATATTATTTATTTAATTAGACTTATTTCAATTATTGTTTTTCCATATATAAGACTCTCAATCTTTTAAACTCTCAAAATGACGTGTATTTCAACTATTATTATGATGATGTAGAAATTTAGGAAGATGAAATCGACGTCGTCTTCGCATTAAATTATTTGTTAGAATATCATTCAAGAGAAACATCACTTTTGAGGAGCTGATCACTAAAATTTCAAGGAAGGTTCATGTTAGAAGTACTAGAAGATTGTCCTCACTTCAGTACAGATTTTCAATCGCAGTATTTTCGTTAGCTTATATAGCGTTCAAACTCTCCAACGATGACGATGTTGTTATGATGGTTGATTACCGGAATCAATATTCAGACACTGAACACAGATGCATGTGACATTTGTTGAAGTGCCTACTGTTCGTGGTATGTCATTATGCTCCCACAATGGGCTGGCTCAACAAGTTGACAGCCCAACTTAAGTAATGTGTAATGATTTTAACTAGTTAATGGGAAATCCACGTCATGGTGTCATTCCATCAAGTTCAACGGGGAAACTTTTATCAGTAACTTGTTACGATCTATACCGAAGAGACTCCACAAACAATCTGTATGGCAATATCGCTTCCATTTCAAGGGAAAAACATTCATCTGCCAATTTCTTTGACCTGAATATGTAGATGCCCTCGACTCAACAATCTGTGCGGTGCACATTTGACACGATACCTTCAAGTTTTAGGGGGAGGTATTAAACTGTGAGCTTCTTCGACCTCAATGTTGAGATGCCCTTAAGTTCAATGGGAATACATTCAATTGCCAGTTTGTTCGACCTAAATATCAACATCATGGAGGAACCCTTATCTCCACCAGAATAACCTCTTCGTCAGTCAGGTGCGGATGGTGCTGAGACTGGACTATTCGTTCAGCCAGAATCACCGTAGTTCAACATGGACTCCGATGATGATAATGTAGATGAAGTTCCCACAAATACGGTACACACTGAACCTTCAGCACACCTGTATGGAGCTAACTATGGTACAATGTACGAACCAGAATTTGTGGATATACCTAATGTTGGTGACTACGGATTTAACTCATCAATCAATGATGATGAGTTATATAAAGGAATAGAGTTTCCATCCAAAGAAAAAGAGATGATAGAAATTAAGAATTACAACATTCATAATTATGTTCAATCCAGAGTTGATCATTTCACCACCGAAAAGTATGTCTGCCACTGTGTCCAACGTGATGACGGATACAACTAGATTATTCGTATATCGAAGAGGAAAAGGAAAAACAATATATGGGAACTAACATTATACAACAGTCCTCATACATGATGTGATAAAGGGATCAACCAGGATCATCCCAACTTGGACTCTGACATTATCTGCCAAGTCATCTTCCCAAGGTCAAAGAAAGCTCCCATATAGCTATTGTGGTGTTAATTTCAGCTATACAATAGCAATGTGGGTTCACCGTCTCATACAGGAAAACATGGAATGCAAAGTAGAATGCCATGAAAAAACTTCATAGTGAGTGGGATGCATCTTATAACGAACTACCAAGTTGGTTTAGGATAGTACACAGATTGAATCTTAGGACAATTCTCGACTTCGAAACTTGTCATGCATACCACAATGATGGAGTGCTTCGCGATCGCTGCCAATTCTACCGTCTTTTTTTTACTTACCCACAGTGTATTAATGCTATGAAATACTGCAAGCACGTGGTCCAAATCGACGGGACATTATTGTATGGAAAATACAAGCAAGTATTACTATTGGCAGTTATCGAAGATGATAATCACAATGTTCTTACAGTTGTTATTTCCCTTTTGAATGAGAAGATACAGATTCTTAGGCTTTTTTCCTCAGAAACTTACACTTACATGTTGTAACGAGGGGAAAATCTGTGTCATTTCAGATCGCGAAGCTTGGATCAAAGCATCAATGGATTCATTGGGTCCAATGTGGCAACCACCCTATGTCCAACATTGATACTGTATCCGACGCATTGCTTCTAACTATCATGGAAAGTTTAAGAAGAATTATGAGCGTCAATTACTTGTGTGCATGGGTAAGTAAAAATGTTGTTTTTTATTTCTCAATCATTTTCAGTTTTTTATGGAAACAACGTTATTAAGTTATATATTTGATGCTCAGATTACGAACTATTACCTGAAACATTTGAGTCAATGTTTCAAGATTTGCGAGGAAAGAACAAAGAATGATACAATTACATCAACCTCATCAACAAAGAAATGTGGACAAATGCATATGATGGTGTATATCAATATGGACACATGACGACCAACTTGGCTGAGGCTATCAATTTAACCTTAAAGGGGGCACACTATTTACCAGTAACGACTTTGGTTAAAATGATAAATTATTAAATAATTATAATATAATATAAAATATTTTACATTCTTAATATAAATATTAATAATAGGAAGAATAAGAGATTTTGATATTTAAGTGTGGTTTGAGAGTTGTGTTGAGTATGGTATTTATAGGAGGAGGGGAGGGGGAGACCGGTGATAATCAATGTGGTAGACGGACGATTTTGGAATTAAAGGAAAGGCGCGGATCATGATTCGCACCTTCCATACGTGTCAAAACCCCGCGAAGGCTCTGATGGCGATCTGTGCCTTCGCCTTACGTGGCGCTAACTCGAACAAAACCCCGTGAAGGCACGGATGGCGATCATCGTTTTATTATCACCGTGTCAGAAAGTGTACTAGATCGATAATATTTGAGGAGAGGATGTCTGACAGTTAATTATTAAATCTAAGGGTGATATTTTGGTAAAAACACCAAAAATATAAGCTTTTATTATAAAATAATCCTTGTTATTTTTTAAAATATTTTTATACTTTTTATATAGTTGTATATGTTTTTTCTTTTTTTTTCTTTTTAAAATTTTTATCACATGATATCTCTTAATTATTTCATATAATAATTTCTAATGTTATTAATATCACGTCATCTGATGATTAAAAAAAGCGATAATGAAAGAAAATTAAATACTTAAAATATCAATTCATACATTAATTTTTATAAATTTAATAAAAATATTATTAAATATTTTTTATTTTTTATTTTTATTATTTATATTCGAAATTATCTTTCTAATAATATGGTCTATATTCATATTTTTTTTCATAATGTTAAATGCAATTATGACTTTTTTAATTTAAAATCTGTATGAAATTATGGGTGGACAATGCTCATCTCAAAATATGACTGGACAGGCAGTGAGATTTTATTTATAAAATGAACTGTTTAAATTATTATTAGGAACAATGAAAATTGTTGGGTAAATATATATTTTAGTAATTGGGTTTGATATTTAACTTTTTTTATCTAAGTATTTGAATTTGGTTGTAAGGTTCAATTTACTATATAAAAGTTTCTTTAGTTCAGTTAGATACTTAAATTTAACTTTTTGATTAACATTAGCACCTAAAATTGACTATTTAGTTTAAATTGGAACTTGGTTAAATGTTTATCTGAACCATAAAGTTAAGTTTAAGTACCAATTTAAATATTAAAAAAATCAAATTCAAAATCTTAATTGGATAAAATAAAACTTTTAGATACCAAATTGAACTTTAAGGTCAAGTTTATGTACCTAAAAAAATAACATTGAACCTTCAGGTCAATTTTCAATGGCTCTATTGCATGTTAACCTGTTATATTCCAGATAACCCAAAGCGATCTAGAAAGTGCAAGCAGTGATCCCCAGAAACTGAAAGATTTGAAAATAGCATTCAATTCAACCATTGGAAAATATCCCAACAGCTACGTTGCTCCATTTTTTAATTTAATTTAAAATATCAATATTCGACATTCGTGTTTAACACAGAGACATGGAGATAATAGATATGAAGATACGACCTGTAAAGATCCTTCAAACACATAGACATGTTAAGAAAAATTGACATTGATGTCCTACACATGGATATGGAGATAATGGATACGACCTCCTTCAAATACATAGACAACTTAGGAAAAAATTAATTATATTCGTATCATATACATACTCGTACCCGACACTTATACGAAGATTAGTTCAAATGTTCAGTATATCTATCATGTATCTTCAATGTCAGATCATTTCCTGGACTAATCAGTTAATTCATTCTCAATGTTCAATAGCTTACTTCTCATCAATCAATATTCCAAGCTCTGCTTTGGTCACTCTTTATTAAGCATTTAAGACTATAAAAACAAGTAGGACAAGAAAAGGAACATGAAAAAGGTCCAACAACTTGATATGGAAGCATATAAATAGAGAAAATCTATCTTACACCAATTGATGAATAGTTACTATGCAGCCATTTATATTTAATCAATTTATTTGTATCATCTATATCGTTTTATTCCATGGCTGGTAGATCACAAGAAATTTTATGCACCTGAACCATGTATATCTTTGGAAGAGTTTGAAGATCATCTTTAGCATGTCATAAGCTGCAAAACCCTTCTAGCTGGAGTTTTAATGAAACAAAAAAATAACCTTCATCAGTACTCCGAGTATGCTGTAATCTTGTCAGGAACTCGATAAATATTAGCCGATAACACAACGACGGACATAATGATGCCATTGAGCACCAAACAATCCAGCGGAGGCGGTTATGGTGTTTCCAACATGGATTGACACTCACCGTCCAAGTTTTCCATAGTGTAAGATCTGCAACTGAAGTAGAAAACTGTGCTCATCATGGAGTCAACAAGCACGACGAATGAATACACTATGACCAACAGTGGACCTTCCCAGATCCTAGAAGACCCACCTCCATAACTCAATGCCTTAACCCTATGTTCAAACAACCCTTCCACAACTGCTAAACCAATTGTAGATCCAAGAAATATCAAAAGACCAACTTGAGTCTGCCCTTTGATTAGAACACCGGCCCGAAGCATTGCCAGTGGTCCCGAAACTTCCTCCAACACACAGATTACAATTCCAATATTGCAGACAACGATTGCATATGCAAAAACAACCGAGAACACTAGTCCCATCAGTATCACCGCATACACAATTAAATCAGGTGTAAAGCCAAGAACAGAAAGTAAGCTGCATGCCGCAACAAGGAAAACAAAGAAAGTTGTCACACAAGCAACTATAACCATACACATCCACACATATGTGAAAACTAGCCGCCTCCAAAACTTCCGAATTATCCCAAAAAACTTCAAAGCATCAGCTGATTTCCTCGAATAAGTACGGTCTACACAATAAACCACAGCAGCCTTCGATAACAAACACAATGTAATGAACAAAGGGAAGCACATTGCCGATGAAACTGCCGACTCCGCAAACCTGTGCGACGACTGTCTGATAAAAGGCCTCAATGGGAGTCCACAGGTTTTGGCAACTAACAAAAGCCTAACAGTTAATCTCTTCACAATGGAATGATCAACTAACAAATTAGACATAAAGACAGCAGATACTGGGCAAATTAACAAAGCTGCAATGATCATAAAACCGGGCAAATTGTACCGTAATATGCTAACGGTTTCTCTTAAGATCTCTAAGGCATTCATCGAATGGAATTGGTGGCTACCATCACTAATATTATGGGATGATTCAAGTTCAAGATTTTCTTCATGGGTTTCCTTAAATCCTTCTTTGTCTAAATGATCCGATCTCATTCGTACGCTAACAGTTTCCATTTTAATTAAAAACCCAGAAAAGATATCGAACCCAGCAGCTAAATAAACATTGGGAATTATAGAAAACCAAAGATCTGAAAAGACCAACCTTTGTAATCCCGGAGGAGACGCGAGGAAAACACAGTGAAAAGACTGAAATAAGGGATCGAAAGTGAAAAATGCAAGAAGATTGTGGGATTGGAGGGAAATTCTCGTGTTAAATAAAGGTCTTATGGAAGAAGAAGAAAGGATACAAAACGTAAGAATTTGGATTTTATAGCTTTGTAGCTGCCATTTCTTGAGGGGAAAATAATGCCATGGTGCCGCCGTTCGTGAGTCTGTAACAGATTGAAACTGGGCTTTTTTGGGAGATTGAAAGTGTTTGCTATGGAGGGACTATGTTTTTTTTTTTGCAAGTCACTGCCAAATTGAAACATGGGGTAAAAGATCATTTGAAAGGTGGGCTCTTGATAAAATAAAATAAGAGAAAATAATCTCAGTGATCAAAAATGCCTTATAATATACGATTTTAACAAACTTTTTTTGGATTTGCCAAAATGACCAACTAAATCGCAATGCGATCGATAATTCGCAACGCGATCTCCGGTATCGCAAATCAGTTTCCATATTCGCAACGCGATTCTGACTATCGCATTGCGATTTCCCAAATTCGCGTTGCGATTTTCCTGATTCGCAATGCGAATACGTAAATCGCAACGCGAATACGTAAATCGCAACGCGAATACGTAAATCGCAACGCGAATACGTAAATCGCAACGCGATTACGCAAATCGCAACGCGAATACGTAAATCGCAATGCGAATCTGTAAATCGCAACGAGATTCTGACTATCGCAATAATGAATTTCAAATTCGTAACTCGATTTCTGAATTCGCAACAGGTTTTAATTTCGCAACACAAATGTTTTGGGTATATAACTACGCAGCAGCAACAACTCATAACCTAAATCCCTAAATCGCAACTCATTCCATCTTCATCTATCACTCTCTCCGGCGACATCCGTTCTTATATCCAACGACATCCTTCCCCATCCGGCAACAGGTTTTAGTTTCGCAGCTCGTTTGTTTAGTAAATTAATTTACAATAATGAAATCATCTAATGTTGATCATGTTTGGATAGATTTGTGTTTTGGAGGGTCATGGGAGAATGTTCATGGTGTTTTACAATATATGCCTTTACCCATGAATCTTCAACTAAAATTGTCATTAAAAAAGTTAACTTATGAAACTCTAATGTTACGTGTTGCAAATAAATTGAATTTAGAGCCCCTAAGTGGATTTAGGCTATCTTATCAGAGAAATGGTAAAGTTTATTTGTTAACCGATAATAAAGATGTTGAACGATTCATTGGTTACATTAGTGTTTCAAGTGATGATGTTACATTGTATGTTGTTGAACCTAGAAGTAGTGAAGTTGGGTCAGTAGCGGGTAGTAATCAACTAAGTTTTTCAACCCCAGTTTATGGTGCTCAAAATTTAATGGTTCCACCACAATTTCATCACCAAGCAAATATTGTTTCACCACATTTCCAATACCAAACACAATCTCAAAACCCACAACCTTTCCCTAATCCAAATCCCAATCAACTTTCAGCACCAAATTCCGATTTTCGTATTGACCAGTTAGACGATGATGAGCCAACAGAAAAAATTGTGAGTACTATTCAGTATTCGAAATTTGATCTTGGTCAATACCCGGACTTTGATCTTGGTCAATACTCGGATTTTGATGATTTTTCAGAAGAAGAAACAGACCCTGCGTGTAATGATTTTGATATTGGTCAATACCCGAATTTTGATGATGAAACAGCCGTTGCCGAGGAAGATGTTGTTGATGATAATGAGGAGGAAGTTACGACTGTAAATGAACATGTTGAACATCCATTCTGTAATTCATATAACACTGAAGAAGAAAAAGAAGAAGAAATCCCCAAAGAAAAGTCCCCGAAGAAAATATCACGGGAGTATAACTGGAATATGCAAGAATTACTTCAGATACCGGAAGAAGAGTTGGTAAAGATAGCAGTTGATTGTTACACAAAAATTATTCGTATCAAGAAAGATAATTGTTTTGATACAAAGGAAGACTTGAAGATAGCTTTGTATACGAAATGTGTGGAAGATGGCTATCAACTAAAAGTTAACAAATCAAGCAAAGATCGTTTCGAAACAAGGTGTATGATTGATAAAAACTGTATGTGGCGTATGATTGCAAAGAGGATAAAAGATTGTGAAATGTTTCAAGTTAGGACTTTTATTGATAAACATACATGTTCAAGAACCCAAGTTTTTCCTCACCATATACAGGCAAACAAAAAGGTGTTGGGTAGTTTTCTGGCTGAGTTAATGTTTTTGAATGGTAGGGTATATCGGGGACATAAAATTATGACTGACATGAATGCTCGGTTCAAGATTAGTATCTCATATTCTCAAGTTTGGAGAGCCAAATGTTATGCCTTGGAATTGTTGAGGGGGTCGCCAGAAGCATCGTTTGCCCAACTGCCAGCTTATTGTCATAATTTAAAGCTGAAAAATCCTGGGTCGGTAACTCATATCAAAACAGATAGAGATGGACGCTTTGAGTTGCTGTTTATCGCCATTGGTGTTGCGGTTAGTAAATCAATATAATTTTGTTGACTCATTTTTGTTAGTTACTTGCATTTCACATTTAAATGATTATATTTCTTGTGTATATGATTTTGTAGATTCGTTCGTTTATTAATTGCATGCGCCCAGTTATTATAGTTGACGGAGCACATTTAAAAGGTGGATACTTTGGAGTAAACTTATTAGCAGTAGCCATGGATGCTAACAATGGGATACTGCCAATAGCTTACGGGGTTGGCAAATCTGAAACCTCTGATTCATGGACATGGTTTATGGGGCATCTTAGGGATTGCATAGGTCCTATTAGCAATCTGACAATCATATCTGATAAGGCAAACTCAATTGACAACGTTGTTAGAAGGTGTTTCCCAGATGCTTTTCATGGACTTTGTGGTGTTCATTTGTATAGAAATCTAAAATCAAGGTCTGCTGGTATAAAAAATCACAAATGGACATACTGGAAGGTTGTAAAAGCTTATCGGAAAGTGGATTTTAATAAGCATATAAACTGTTTAAGACGTGTTTTGCCTCAGTGTGCTCAAACACTAGAAGATGTCGGGTTTGAAAGATGGTCAAGAGTACATCAACTTGGAGCAAGATATGGTTTCATGACGTCTAATAGTGCAGAATCAATCAACGCTCTAAGTCGTCATTCCCGGAAATTACCCATTACTATGTTAATGGAGTTTTTTCGAGCCTCTATTCAACAGTGGTACTACAAGAAAAGAACCATGCAGGTATTATTTCTTTAAATTCATAACTTATCATATATTTTACTAAGTATTATTTATTTAAATTTACAGGAACATTGGAATATCGTGTTACACCATGGACAGAAAAAAAGATAACGAAACGTGTTGTGAAGTCAACGTCATGGAGAGTTGAACCATGTTCAAACACTTTGTTTGAAGTACTGGATAATAACTTAAATGGGCTTATCGATCTAAATGCAAAGACGTGTAGTTGTATGAAATGACAAACATCTGGTTATCCGTGTGGCCATGTTATAAAAGTTTCTCTTCATCTAAACCAAGATGATTCAAGCGCATACGCTATGGATTGCTACACTACAGAAGTATATCGACAGACTTATGGCGAGATTGTCAACCCTATTCCACATCCTTCTGAGTAGGACATACCAGATGACTTACAAACAGTTTTGCCACCAGCCATGGATAGAAGGCTACCTGGCCGACCAAAAAGTCATGATCGTATACCGTCTAAGGGTGAAGAGAAGAAGAGATCGACATGTAGTCGGTGCAAGGAAAGTGGTCATACAAGGTTGACATGTGGATCACCAGTGCCATCACACTCATCTTTTCCTCTACCAAAATATGGATCCTCATCAAAATCCCAATCACAACCGGCTTCACCTTTTGGGACTGTTAACTTAGGTGATTTTTAAATGCAAACGTTGTATTATGTGTATATTATGTGTGAACTTTTAACATTTTCAGTTAGGCATGTATTAGTAACTTGAGTTTGAACATTGCTATGATATGTTCAGTTGTTATCACTTATTAGACATTCATTTGACTATCGCAACGCGGAAATCACAACGCGAATATGACTATCGCAACACGGAAATGACTATCGCAATGCGGAATTGACTATCGCAACGCGGAAATGACTATCGCAACGAGAGAATCGCAATGCGAAATAAAAATCACAACGAGTGAATCGCAATGCGAAAATGAAAATCGCAACGCGAAATCATTGCGATAGTCATTTCCGCGTTGCGATAGTCTGTTTTGCATTCAACATAATGCAGATTGAAATCAACAAATCAACTATTACATTTCAATCAATTAAACAAGCACAAATATTATGTACACATCAATTAAACAAATCAACATTTACAAATCATCTTTTACAAATCAATTAAACAATCAAAAAATAATAATGAAATCAACTTTTGCACCCATACATCCATTTCACGCAGCTCACTTCAGGATTAACCTGCAGAAACCAAACATTGAATCAACAACACTTTCTACACATCTAAAACCTACAAACAGCAAATTATTGAATTCTAGCTACTTAACCAAACATTTTCAAACCAAAAAGAGTAAATATGTTTAACAACACTTGCATTTGACTTACAAATTGTTTATGGACACTTTCATAACGCGGATGCAGGTAGGCAGCGTCTCGCATATATCGCTCTAGCCATAAAATGCCGAAACCACAAGCCTATTGTACCTCTATCTCTATCGGTGGGAGGTAAAAAATGTGTACTTCCTGTCGTCAAACGCTCCATGCACATGCATACGAGAGGACCACAATCCCCTCTGGCTTCCTTCGTTTGTTGTGGCGTGGTCTCATCTCTGATAACTGTAACATTGAACTTCTTTGGCTTCTTGTTTCCAGACTTAGTCCAATAATCAATTGCATCCAAGAATTTAGCCAAATGAGAGCTTCATCCCTTAATCATATCTCTCAAATCAGACAATGATATGTAATTTATCATGTTGTTATATACTATTGTCTTTAGGGATGGGAGCTGAAGCTCGACGAGAAGCCAATGAGTACGGTCCAAAACAGGGATAAACACCTGCATCGAAATGTAATAATTCAAATTGCGCACTTATTTATGAACACCTTTAAAATATTTAAATAAATATACTAACCTTATCGATCTCCCACCATGCAGGATAAAGTTTAGCTTGTCCATTAGCCAACACATATGATTCCTGTTGTTGATTCTTCAA